CTGCAAACTCCTTACCCTGCTTAGGCGGATATGATGAAGGGAAGACCATGGTAATTCTGCCACTTTTTCCTTCGGTATCTGCATTCTCTTCTCCCATCTAAGTGCCATGGGTAATCAGCTTCAAGATCCACTTTGTTTGGAGTGCCTTCAGTTGCTGTTCGGGATCCAATATGCCCAAACCCCTTTGGTCCTTGGATTTGATAACGTGCCGCCATGCCACCTTGGAAATGAAGTGTTGCTTAGTTGGGTTTGCCGTCCACAGGAAGACCGCTGACTCCCTCCTTAGTTTCTTCATAGCTTGGGATGGTGGAGTCCATATCGTGTCGGCGTACCATATCATGGAAAATACTGAAGTGTTCAGAATGAGAGCTCTCCCAAATAGCGAAGTATAAACTTGAAACCATGCACTCATCCTCGTTAGCATTTTTGCCAGGAGTTCCGGTGCCATCGAGTGGTGAGGCCCTGAGTCCGCCATTCTCATTCCTAAATACCTCAAGGGTTCCACTGCTGACAGCCAACTCATACCACCGTGGTTCAGAGGGTGGGGTTGTTCCCCGTCCCCCCCTTGTACCATCCACCACCACACTGTCTTTGGCCAATTGATTCTCATTTCTGAAGCTAGCTGGAAGGCACTCATTGCTCGTGTAAGGGCTTCGAAGGACGAGTTTGAGACCCGTATTAACACTGTCAAGTCATCAGCCAACAGTATGGTTGTGGGGAGCTTGATACTTCTGCCTTATTGGTCTGGCTCTGCTACTAACCGGTCTATCGATGGGTCCTTCCTTAAAAAGGATGCTATCACCTCCATAATAAAGAGAGAGATAGGTGCCGCTCAGGGGTCTCCTTGGCGAACGGACCTTGTCATCCTATACCTCTGCGACAGATGACCGTTTACTTGGACTTGACCGTGGACATCGTTGTAGAGGACTATTGTCCATTTTCGAAAGTTGGGACCCACTCCCATTTTTTCCATGCATTGCTGGAGGAAGTTCCAATTCACCTGGTCATATGCCTTCTCAAAATCAAAGAAAAGAATAGCCGCGTTAATTCTTTTATCCCTGATGTATCTTATCGACTCCGAGAGTGTCATTATGTTGTCCAGGATAAATTGTCCTGGAATGAAACCGGTCTGGTCTAAGTGGAAACATCCCCTGGGTACACTACTCAATCTGTTGGCAAGAGCCTTTGCTACAATCTGATGTGTTAGTGTCAGTAACGTGATAGGTCTGTAGTTTTTTATGTCTTTAAGATCGCCCTTTTTGTAGAGCAAAGTGACGATGCCTGTGGCCGGGTGCACGCCCAAACTCTCCTCATGCCAGAATTTGTTTAAATACTGTTCTTATTCCCCCCCTAGTATTGGCCAAAATTCTAGCCAGAATTCTCTTGTGAGTCTGTCCTTTCCTGGTGTTTTGTTAGGGGACATTGACTTGAGTGTTGTCCAGAGTTCTTCCTGTGAGAGGGGGGCGTCTAGCGCCAATGCTTGTTCTCTATCTATCGTGCGCTCCAAGTAGGTAAGGAACTTGGTTCTTGCCTCCGCAGTTTGTTGGGTCGGTTGTTCAGGCTCCGTTGACGTGTAGAGTGTACTGTAGAAATTATGAGCCACCGGCACCATATCCTCCGCTTCGGAAACCACTCCCTGTGGGCCTCCAAGTTGTTCGATTGATGTGTTTCTTCCTCGGGTTTTGATCTTTTGAAAGACGTATTTTGTCATCCGCTCTCCCTCCTCCCATTCCCTGACTCTTGCTCGCAGTTGCAGTCCTCGCATTGTCCATTTTTCCCACTCTCCCAGCTCGTTCCTAGCCGTGTACAACAATTTCTCATAGAATTCCTGACCTGGGTTATGGATTAAATTCTGCTCCGCTATGCGGAGAGCTTGCTGTAACTCCTGTTCCCTTACATTCCTTTTAGCCGCCAGCTGTCTGGCCACTGTCGCTGCCGCCACCGACATGGAAGCGAGGAGTTAAGGGAAATAGCAGTTTTCTGGACTGTGAGCCAGGCACACCTGTGAGATGGCCTGTCTAAACTCTGTAGTCTGTAATAGAGAGTTGTTGACTTTGAAAAAGCTCCTACCCCTTTTTATCTGTTTGTCTGTGGCGAGATTTAGGAGGATGGGTTTATGATCAAGACCACCAGCATATGGCAGGTCCCCTATTCCTACGGAATGGAGTGTACCTATTAACGTTTGTGAGATTAAATAATAGCCTATTCTTGACGCCGAGATGTGTCGTCTCCTGTTTCTCTTACAATAAGTGAACTGCCGCTATTCCGGTAGTGGAGTCTATATGGATCAATAAGGTCCCATTTGGTCATCAAGTCGTGGGTGGGTAGTGACTCCTCCCCAACTGTGTTCTCCCCCCCACTTAATCCTGACATTCTGTCTCGTGCTGGTTCCAGGGTCGCATTCCAGTCCCCTGCTAATATGATGTGCCTCGCTGGCTCTATCTGTGTCTGCAATTCTTCCAACATGGCCGATCGTGGCTGTCCCGTATTTGGGCAGTAAAGAGAGAACTGTGTAAACGCCTCATCCTGAAAGTTGAAATTAATCTTGACCCATCTGCTCTCTGTGGTGTCCGTCAGCACTTCCTGGATCGTTATCCTATTTGCTGCCTGAGACTGCTTGTTGAGAAGGACTGCCACCCCTGCCGAATGGGAGTGTCCTGCTGCTGCCCAGTATCCTGCTTTTACTCACTTCAGCCTTTCCATGATCCTGGTTTGAATTTGCTGATGCTCCGGGGACGATGTGAGGTGGGTCTCTTGGATGCACAGGAAGTCTGGAGGATTGCTGCCGATCCAATCCGTGTACCGCAGGACGCTATCCCACTTCTCCTGATTATCAAGCATCTGCACCATACCATTCACGTTCCACGATACCTCTCTTAGTTCAGGTTCTGTCCTCCTACCCTCCGTCGTAAGTCTTCGACGTTTTCTCGGCATAGCGTCCTCCGCATCCTCCATTGAGGTAAGATGTCACCCCCACCTTCACTCTCCTCCCTTTGGCAATTCAGGAGCCCGCCAGACCCAGATCAATTCTTGTTGCCACTTGTGCTATCTTTTTCTCCGTATATTCTGGCTTCCATGCGAAAGCTTCGACTTTTACGGCAATCATTGCGCTCCTTGCCACCGACTCCGCTGCCTTTGCTCCTCCCAGCAGCCCGTAGTGGATGGTCTCCACAACCTGCCATGGCATCCACACCAGACCCTCACTAAGTTTCGCTGAGCTCTGGATCTTTAACGTGATAGGTCTGAAGTCCACTTTCCGCGTAACGCCTGCCGAGTCCGTCCAACCCTCCCTGTCGTCCTCCAGATCTCGTACCACGTATGCTCGAGTTGGGATGTCTTCTGTTATCAGCTTCCTCAAGGCTTCCCCTGAGCAGTTGCTGTCATCTGTTGTGACGAGCGCTAGGGAACGGTGGATCGCCACCTCCCAGTCGGAATTTCCTTAATTCCATCTAAAAGGAAGGAGGACTCTCTTTCCTGGGCTATTTCTTGCATATAATTTGGCCGCTGCGTGAATGTCCTTGTGTGGGGCGTAAGAAATCTTCTGCAGATTGGTTGTGCCCTCTTCCAGCTCCCTGTTTTGTTCCTTGAGGATACTGATTTGAGCTTCGAGTATCGCGGCTTGTCTGGCCTAAAACCTACCAACCGCATGGGGTGAAGAGATCGGAGCGGAAATGCAGGTCACAGCAAGAGGAGGATGAACAGACAAGTCGGGAAAGCCAGGACTCAGCGCCCCCGGGCAACGAGTCAGTGGAGCAGCGTCTCATCTCATCCGAGCAGAGATTTGCACTTTCTTAAAAAGCGAGAAAAAAGAGAACTGCAGGGGGGCTGGACATTGTTTGTTGTCATTTCACAGTAAATCTTACTTGGATTCCGAGCCTCCCAGCACCACTCACCAAATGTGGAAAAGACAAAAGCTATGGCGGGTGTTATCTTTCCATGTTCTAGTGGAACATGGAAAGCTCACTGGTAACGTAGCTCCCGGGTACCTTCCTTGTGCCTGAGTGGTACACACATCTTACTGTTGATAAGCAGACCAGAGTTCAAAACCCTGCTGGATTCAATAATGTTTGGAGCTGCCCCCTGTTTTTTTCTTTAAAAAAAAAGGAGTTTTGCATGGCTACGCCGGACCCAGACCCGGACATTTCTGGACATGGAACCGGACCCGTGTCCGGTAGTTCCCGGACGTCCGGAATTCCGGACATTTCCGGGCCTCCGGACATGGGGGATCCAGATGGTCCGGGGTCCGGATGTCTGGACAGGTCCGGAAATGTCAGGACGATTAAAATAAACATAAAAATAAAAAAATCTGAAAAAAAAGTATGTTATGCAGAATAACAATGCAAACCACTTTTGCCTCAGAGTCATGTCAGAATTCCAAACCAAACTTGAGTTAAAAGTCAAAAACTATAAAAAAACTTTAAAAAAAACTTTAAGAACTAATAAAAGGTAATGAATTATTTATAATTGAAAAATTGGGGTTGTCTAATAAATTATTATATAGAGAGAGCATGTCCGGACCTCCCAAAAAAGCATAAACGGGCCTGAAAACCCCCAAAACAATTTTGGGGGGTTTTGCTCCTCAATGGGGAAGGGTCCTGGACCATTTTTTTTTTTCCTCGAAATTTGGCAGATCCGGACCTTCCAGACCGGACGTCTGGAGTCCAGACTGAATCCAGACCGTCTGGACGGCGGTCCGGACGTTCGGATCGTAGCCATGAATTTTTGTCTCCCCCGATGCCATTGCCAATTGATAGCGGTCAACAGTTGGGTGTTATATTAATGATAATAACAGTTATAATAGTTATATAACTTATATTATTATTACAATAAATTGACAAAAATAATAATAATAATAAAATGATACTTGGGAGAGCGTCCCTTTTCCGGGTTTTCCAAGAGTGGTGACCACGATATGCAGGCAGGTCTTGAGGTAGGTGTGTTTCAGTCAGCAACTAAACCCCACAATGTTGGAGAGAAATGGTATGTGGAGAGAAATGGTGTTCCTTCAGCTAGCTATTAATGATGGTACATGGCATGTTCTTTGGTCCCGCTTTGGTCCCGTTTCTTTGGTCCCACTTTGTCTGCCATGTGTAGGGTTTCCTCGGTTTGTAAATTTCTTCGAGGTTGTTCCAACTCCTGGACCAGGTCCAAACTGCCCAGATCCTTTTGAACCCGGCGAGAAATGGGGTGTCGGCGGCAAAGACGCACACAGGTGCACATCTACGGGTGCTCGCACCTTATCGCAAAACAGTGTGAGAACAATGTCGGCGGTGGAGGTGCTGAAAGGGAGGAAACCCCCCTTCAGGGGTGTTGGGAGCATGGGCCAGATGTGGTGGCCAGATCAGTTGCAAGCTCAACTGCATCACACTCTAAGGGAAAGCGGCAAAGTGGGTCTTCTGTCATCGGCTCATCCCCCTCGAAGGCAAGCATGGGAGGAAGATAATGCTGTTGTCAATACAAAGGATGCTCGACTGCGTCCATCGCATCTTGGAGATCCGACGGTTGTAGATGTGACCCAATACAAAGCAGGTGGTAGAGGGACTGGGAGGGTTGGAGATGACCTTTTCCATGAACAGCAAGGGGGCTCAGCACATGAGAAGAGATGGACTTTGAACCAGGCACCGGGCCAAAATGGCAATGCTTTGTCAAGCAAAGCGGATGTGAACTCTTTGCGTAGTCGTGGAGCCGACCGAGATGAGCATGGAGTGATCGAGACAATTGCACAGGACTGGAGGCCACGATCAGCGGCAGGAATGCTGGATTTGCACTGTGGGTTTCGTTGTGGAAGTAATCGGTGTGATTGTGATGATGATGATGTCAATGCAATGAAGGTTGCAGGTTGTCGACCATCTTCCGGGTTCAGGAGAAATGGAGCATTGAAAAACGGAGATGTCGGTGCAGGAAGGTGTTTCTCAGCACCAGCAGATCCCATGTCAAGGGTGGCCGGGGGAAGCAATACTGGCCGTAGGATCGGCCAGGTGGCAGAGCTTCTGTCAATCAAGGAGTTGGAGAGGCTCAAAGGCATTTTGGAGGAGCTGCTGAGGTGTCGCCGTGCCAAAGAAGGATCGCCTGACGTCCGTTCCCAGGTCGGGAGGGTGGTGGACGCTGATCCCCTTCCATGGGTGAATGGTGTTGTCGTTCCTCGACCACCACTCGATAGCGGCCCCTCGACATGTTGCGAGGGACCCCTTGACAATGCCACGGAAATCAATGGCTCAGAAAGAGAGTTGGGAAGGTTGACGAAACTGAACGAGGCAGTGTGTGGATCAGAACCCTCTCGTGGTGGTCGGGCTTGTTGTACTGGTGTCGTGGGGAGTGCCGACATCGGCAACCACGTTCATGGGTCAGGAAGAGTCTACGAAGTGGTGCGTGGAGTAGAGAAGTCGGTTCCACTTGGTGATATTGTGCCTCATGACACGAGGCTTCATCAGGATGCGAACCAAGGGGATATGTTGGAGACCCCTCAGCTTTGGGATCACGGCTTGGAAGAGGGGAGGAACGGTGTCGTTCTCCAGAAAAGAGGCTTGCCTGAAAGAGTCAGAGGCGGTGTTCCGGTCACTGCAGGATTTGAAAAGCAGACCCCAAATGCAGTTGAAAATTGCACGTGGATGGGTAGTCGTAAAAGTGGTGGCGAGTTGGGTAGAGGAGCTTGTGTGTGTCAGACGCAGCAGCATCCAAATTGTGCGCCAAAACTTGCACTGCGTGAAAAGAAAGAGATGGAAAAGGCAAGGCACATGGAAATCAAGGAGATTGAGAGAAGAATGGCGTCCGTCAAAGCCCTGATGATGAAGATCCGGCTGCATAACGTAAAGCTTGCGGCCAAGAAAGCGCAAGAGGTGTCACAGAAGGCGACCACAGGAGAGGCACAAGAGCGTACGTTGGAGGAACCAAAACCAGTGGTGAAGGGGGCTGTTGCTGAAGATAAGAGAGATCGGAGGTGTCGGAAACCCGAAGCTGTTGACGCCCTAATGATGAAGATCCGATGGCATAACCTAAAAAAGCTCGCAGCCAGGAGAGAAAAAGAGGCGTCACAGAAGGCGGCCACGGGAGAGTCACAAGAAACTACTATGGAGGAACCAAAAGCAGTGGTGAAGGGGGGTGTTGGTGAAGATGAGAGAGATCGGAGGTATCGCAAACTCGAAGCTGTTGACGCCCTGATGATGAAGATCCGGCGGCACAACCTAAAAAAGCTTGCAGTGAGGAGAGAAAAAGAGGCATCACAGAAGACGGCCATGACAGCATCACAAGAAACTACGACGGAGAAACAGAAAGCAGTGGTGAAGGGGCGTGTAGGTGAAGATAAGAGATATCGGGGGTGCCGAAGACCCGAAGCTGTCGAAGCTCTGATGATGAAGATCCGACGGCATAACACAAAGCTCGCAGCCAGGAGAAAAGCCAGAGAGGCGTCACAGGAGGGGGCCATGGCAGAGTTGCAAGAAACTACGACGGACGAAGCAAAGGCAGTAGTGGAGGGGGATGCCCGTGAAGATGAGAGAGATGGGAGGGGTCGAAAAGGACCATCTTTTTCTCATGAGAAGGGAAAGGGGGGGGATTGCACAAAAGGGCAGGCAGTGACTTCTGACGTCACGGCGACTCCGGTGAAGTCTCAAGGAAGTGGGAGAGAGCCAAAGAAAGTAGGGCTACAGAACATTGAGCAGGGAGATAAGAAGACTCGTCCAGGCCAGACAGCCTTGTTGTCCAGTGAGATGGGAAAGGAGGGGGGGATGCAAAAGGCAACGAAAGCTGGTGTAGGAGAGGGTGTGATAAACCTGCAAGGAAGCGGAGTAGACACAGCAAAAGCAAGGACGAAGAGCAATTACAAGTCAGAAGGTGCAACAGATCAGAGTTATAAAAGTCTCTTGTTATCCCATAATGATATGAGAAAGGAGGGGGAGAAAGGGCAGGCAACTACAAATGGAAAACACAGTGAAGATGGTTGTCCAAAGCCCCAGAGGGCCACTGATGAGGCAGATAAAGGGCTTACGAAATCAGAAAAAGGGGGAAAACATCAAGCAGGGGTTGTAGTTGCAGACAGATTGCCAAATACCGCTACTTGTCGCCTGATGGGGGGGCGTGGTCATAGGGATGCGAATCCCAAAGTGCCACGTGTCAGGGAGGTCACCACAGCTGCTGCTAATTGCTCACCACAAAGGGCTGCTCGAGGAAGAGGGTCTACCAATCATCACCTTAAGCGGCAGGAAAGTCAGGTAAGGGAGGTGGAAGATGGAGGAGGAGGAGGAGGAGGAGGAGGACGCGGCGGTATGACTGTAAAGACCCCTGCTCCAGGGACATATGTGGTACTTTCCGGCAGTTCCATCAGCAAACCTTCTGTGAAGGAGCCAGAATGTTCTGTAATTACCAGCAAGAAAGTGTGTGGAAGAGAGGAGAGAGGATCTGATCGCAGCTGCTGGACCCCAACGCGCGTTGCGGAATCTCCTGTTTTAGCAACTGTGGTGCGGGAGTCCTGGCAAGACGAGCTCACAGAATGCCACATGGCGGAACTGGAGGGTGGCAAGCCGGTAGAGGGATACCGGGTGTCCTCATCGATCGAGGAGGCAGGAGGTGCGAAGAGCGCACATGGAAAGTTAGACCTGTTTGGAATAGACAGCCAAGCCGTATTGCAGACTCTGGAGAGCGAAAATCCAAAGAACCAGACGGACAACCAAACATCATGTAGTGTGCAGTTGCAAGCTATGGTGAAGAGTGGTGTAAAAGCTATGGCGCAGAGTTTTGATGAAAAAGAGGACGGCCGTGTTCGTCATGTAAAGGGTGCTCCCGAAGCGGTGGCAGTGAGGAGCTCTTGTGATGATGGAGATGACCATGTTTGTCATGAAGAAGCTGAAAATCTTAGTGGGGAGGAGAGGAGGTTGCAGAAGCAATTGCAGCATGATCAAATGGTAGCGAGGGACGATAGCCAGAGCAAGACCATGGCAGAATATCTGAGAGGGAGGGGGATTCCAGGGGGGGAGGAGGAGTCCTCTCAAGATGACAATGGAAAGGAAGGATCTGTTGCTGGAAAAGGAAGCAGGTTGCATAAGGAATGGGGTTTGCATCTAGGTGCAGATGACCAAGAGGCAGTCAGAGGTGATGACCAGAACATGTCAATGATGCGGACAATTGAGGAGGAGGAGGAGGAGGAGGAGGAGGAGGATGAGGACCCTGAAGTTGAGAAGGGAGATCAAGAGATGCCGACCGTAGCAATTATAATTGAAGGAGGGATTGATGTTGACCATGGAACAGAGATGAACCGTGGGGTTGTTTCGGATTCCAACATACTTGGTGCAGCGGAGAGGGCCCGCAAATTGGAACACGATGGTGGACAAGTTATTTGCAAAGAAAGGGATCCTCTAGGAGGAGGTGATAAATGTGCAGATACCAGTGGAAGACAAGATGTCCACAAGGGGTGTGGGAGCAAGACGGATGCTGTCAGGATGTCCTTAGAGTGTAGTCTGTTGCGGAACGGGGTAGACTTTTTGAAAGACAAAGAGGGAACTTTAGGATATACTAATGATGCCGAAAGGAAGGAGAAGGATTTCGGCAGAGGAGGAATACCAGTGAAAGTGCTGGTTGGGGAAGTTGGTGATGTGGAGGAACCGCAGAAAAGCGCCATAATAGGTGAGATGAACACGGAAAAGAGAACTGTTGATACTACTAAACTCAGCAGGAATGTGATGAAGGGTTACTTACGATCCCAGCAACCGGGAAAAACATGCGCGACTTCTCGAAAGGATGGGATTGCACGGCGATCGTCAAAAACTTCGACAGCGAAAGTCGAGAAGAAGAAAAGTGCAATTCCTAAACTTCTGACTCAGGAAAAGGGTGGAAATGCTGCAGCAGAAGTACTACAGGTCCATCATCCGCATGACCGAATCTCAACAAAGGAGGGGATTGCAATGGAGGAGAGGGTTTCTTCTCTTGGTCCAGTGCTGGAGACGGGACGTCCAGGCGCACGACGAAATAGTCCCCCACCAGGTGTCCAATCTGTACGTGGTATCCGAAGTCAGGGTGAGAGCAGTTTAGAGGCTTTGGACGAGGCTTTGGACCCTGCCGATAGAGCTCTTGATCGGGCAGCAAAGTCTATGGCTCATTTGCCTTTGGATAAGATGATTAACATTCCTAATGAAGGTGCAACTACGGCAGGGATGACTCCTCAATCACGCAGAAATGTTGGCGAAAGTTGGCAGGAGGCCTGTTTAGACCCCCATGGGGATAGAGGTGTTGATTGGGCAAAGAAATCTGGCGAGCACCATTTGCCAGTCGATGAGACAATTGGCATTTGTAATGAAGGCACATCTACGCCAGGGAAGAGTCTGCAGTCACCTGGAAATGGTCGCAGCAGTCGGCAGGGGGGTTGTTTAGATGCCCAAGCGAAAACAGATGTTGATCGGGCAAAAAAATCTGGCGAGCACCGTTTGGCTGTTGATGAGATGATTGGCATTTGTAGTGAAGGCACTTCTATGGCAGGGAGCATCGGCCAAGTTCTGGACGATTCGGAGGGTGGAAAGGAGGTGCGAGTGGAGAAAGTAGACTGCATTGCAGACACGTCTTTGACGTCTTACATGCTGGCCAAAGATGACAGACTCTCCTCAAGGGATGACATGAGCACAACGGGGGCAATGGTACGTGGTGGCGGCAGAAGCGTGCTGACCGGAGAGCAAGACCAAGATGCAAAATTGGGTTTGTGTTCAGATCTGCAAGTGACAACAGAGACACCATTGACCCAAGGAGTGAATGTAGTGGGGCATAGGGAGTTTAATGCAAGCAGGAATGAGGATCGGAACGCTCCTAGCTGCACGGCCGTGCCATCACAGACATGGGACAGTCAGGACGGTCATACACAGCAGACGAAAGCGATCAGGGCTGGATATGACGGTCCAAAAACGACCACTCAGGATGCGAGGATTCCAGCCGGAAGGAGTCGAAACAGCAGTAACGACAAGTTTGCCAAGGTTGGTATGGACTCTGGAGTTATTCTTATTATTATTCTTATTCTTATTCTTATTATTATTGTTGTTGTTGTTGTTGTTGTTGTTGTTGTTGTTGTTGTTGTTGTTGTTGTTGTTGTTGTTATTATTATTATTATTATTATTGTTGCGAGGAACAAGCCCTCCCGGGGCCCTATCAGACATCACATGTTCTGGGCAAAGGCCCTCAGCAAGGCAAGTGCCCGCCCTAAGTGAAGGCGGGCCTGAACATTCGTCARAGGCCAAAATTCGACACTTTCATATGTGGGTATTCAGGCTCTTGCAGCACGCCAGTTGGTTGAATGGACACGCGAGCCTCACTAAGCTGCGTCGTACAGTTGGCCCAGGCCTTGACAGTTGCGCCTGGGCACATAAACACAAAGCAGGGCCGATACATTGAGAAACAGGCCATCGGACGCAAAGGCAGTACTGCCGACACACCTACCTGGGAATGCTGAACAGATGCAACAAACAGCCCAAGTCCGGAGACTCAGGCAGTGCCCAACTGTAAAAGGGGCCCAGGCCCTCAACTGTAGTCTCGAGCCTGGGCACAGGGACTAAGGCCCAACCGGAAGCTACTGCAAGCTTCCAGCCAGGCCACACGCCGCATCCAGGAGGCTGCCACTTCCATAAAAGAAGTGAGGCAGCCCAGGCCAGGTACTCTGGCCTGCGTAGGCAATGCGAAAGTGCTGCTGTGCTCCTTCTTGATGATGCGCTGTGGCCAAGGGCGCTGACAGGGCGCGTAGAGGTGACGTGGGCGCTGCAGGGCAGCGGGGCGCAGGCAGCCATAGCCGGGCTGCTGGGCGCCAGGGGGTACAGTGGGCGGTCTGGTGGTCTTCAGGGAAAGAGGCGAGTGTGGGGTAATCAAGGTCTGACTGAGGGTGACGAGATACGTACCTGGTGCATGAAGAGAGGTCGGCTATGTTGTTGACAGTCATGTACATTGGTCTTTGAGAGTCGAAGTGAGCCTGTTGCGTGAACACAGCTGTAGGTAGGATAGTTGGGTAGAGTAGGCTGGGCGCTGAGCGCCAGACAGAGAGCAGCGACTTTGGATACTGTGTTGGTGTGGCCTACTGGCTTGAACATTGGATCATTACTTCATTGTATTGCTCTATATGGATGGTTTCTTGGTGCATTTGTACTCTCTGCTTGGACACGACTACTTGGACATCTGTGTGATTCCGCAACATGGTTTTCCGTTTATCGTTCACACTCATATTCCTTGCAATTTGGTATCAGAGCTGGTCCGTGATCGCCGCTTACCTGGCACCAGCGACATTGGTACTTGGTGCGCTGACGATGCTTCATGTGCAGTAAGGATACTTCGGCGCTGGTTTGTATGAGCGGGGCCTAGGTGGAGAGGCCAGCCGCTGGAAGGCTGTGGCAACAGCGTGGGAGCTGTGGCGACAACAGGTGTATGTATGATGACGAGAGTATCCTGAAGTGCCATTTTGGCTGAGGTGGCACTGCATTGCTTTGTGGGTGGTACCGAGGCTATCGACCGGTCATCAAAATGCACGTCGGCCAAATTGGTGAGAAATCTGTGGTTGGGGGCAGCTATCTCCAGGTACTTTGTTCCCATTCCTTATCTACCCTCTCAATCTCTTCTTACCGCGAGGAAGTGAGTCCAACTGAGTGTCCTCTCTTTGGTGAGGAGTAGTGTGCGCTCTACCTTGAGAGACGACATTCTTCCTAGTGGCGCATCTGGCAGGAGAAGGCGGTGCCTCTCAAGGGCCCTGGTTGCAGCATGGGTCACGGTCACCATGCCAACCCATGGGACTACTACACGCAGGCCATGCTGCTTTGTCCATTGAGGCTCTTTGCTGGGCTGATAGAAGGGGTGTGCGGACTGACCAGTCCTAATACAGACGCTCCCAGACCATCTATAATCTGATCTGTCCACTGGCTGTGATCGTTGTCCTGATTGTGACGTTAAATAATTCATGAGGACTCTCGGGGAATGTCCTTGGATTGCCTCTTGATCAGCCAGATCAGTCAGACGTACGGCTCGTTGCACATGAGGGTAAACAAAGGGCAGGCTGGTCATAAGCATACGTCTTGGGCACAAGGGGTGGGCCGTCGTTGCACACCTTGACACTGCGCTTAATGATGCTCACAGGTACGTTGGATACAGGGGAAGGGGATTCCAGTTGTGAACTCAACTGAACATCATTGTCATACCCATTGTGCATACATCTGCTCACAAGTAGTTTATTTTTATTTTGATTAGTTGGTTGACAAACTGCGACACCTAACGGACAGCCTTAAGTAGGACTGTAATCTACCATAGTCAGTTCTTCTCAACGCTTCTGGGCAGAACTGATCGAAATTAGAAGTAGACTACATGTGTACATTTCGAGTAGATGCCGTTGATGCCGCTTGACCGGTAGCCTAGATTACCCGCCGAATATTAATTTATTTTAATTATTTTTAGAAACGGTCAGACGTATGTTGCGGTAGGTCCCAGAGAGGACATTAGTGCACACAACGCCTGCCTAGCCCATGAGTGGATCAAAGGGTGTTGAAGATACATCTGACGATAGGAGGCAGACAAGAAGGGATACCGGTGGGATACCTTTAGTGTTCCAGGTCCTACTACCAGGAGATGAAAGGAGACTAAGGGCCGAAGCTAGGGCCCGTAATCTAGAGACTGCGAGAGAAGCAGCAAGGGCTGTAGAACGGGCGTTGGCAGCAGCAGCAGCAGCTAGCGCAATAGCTATGGCTACTTCTGCGACAACATCTGCTGCGACTTCAACTGGTCAACAGACCAGCTCGCATGTTATCTCCAGTACGTCAGGAGCTGGCACTAGTCAGATGGGGGGCTTGCAGCTCAGCTCACCGCCTCCACGCACCCGGGAGAAGATGGAGCTCCAGCAATAGAAAGGATTCGCTTAAGGCTAGAGGAGGAACTTAAACAAGCTACTAAAAAAGAGAAAGAGATAAGAGACAGGAGTGTCGGACTAGAGGGTAGGGAGGCAGACAAAGCTGCACCAGAGGGGTTAGATGACTCGGCCCTCAGTAATACTGAAAAGATTTTTAAGGCGAACATCCTGTCCATGCATGCATACATGGACGACAAACTGGATACCATACAGGACACCTTGGACCAAATCCTGAACGCCATGCACAGGCCAGGAATCAGGCCAGCAGTTTTGCCATCGCTGCCATTCTCAGCGATGACAGACCCCTATGCCGCTCAGTTCGGACCATCACCAAGCTGTACCTCAGCAACAACACTATCTCAGATTGTTGGTTCTTCAACTTCTGGTCCAGCGGCTGGAGCTACACCACAACCGCCACCTATCTCACCAGTGGGACAACAACAACCTTGGTACCCCAAGACCCCTTTGAAACCACCTCCAACCTTCTTAGGAGATAAGAAGGACGAGGCACTCGACACTTGGTTGAGAACGGTTCCAGTGTGGGTCAGGGCGAAGAGGACGCTGGTAGAGGAGGAGGTGATTACTGTTGCATCCTACTTAGAGGATTCAGCAGCTCGCTGGGTAAATGGAGCTTCCAAAGGATTCGACAAAAACATGGGTGACTGGGCCAAGACCCATACCCTCGAAAGCTTTATGGATTTGGTGGAGGCTCGATGGCACAACCCTCAGCAGGCACAAATTGCCACTGATGGGCTATTGAAACTTGACTCTAGGAAGTACAAGTCCGTGAGAGAGCTGACCACAACCGTAGAGCGGCTGATTGTTGTACCAGGAGTGGAATATAATCCACAGGCCTTATTGACCATGTTCTTGAGATGTCTTCCCACAGACATCAAGAACCTCTGAGCTAGCGACGCTCGTCTTGAGTATCATACATTTGAGACATTCAGTAAGAAGGTATTAGATTTAGAGGCTACGCTGGGTGGTGCTCAAACCCCCCCTACGGATGGAAGAAGAAGGCTCCACAGGAGTGGAAGAAGAAGGGTAGTCGATTGATGATGGTTAATTCTTATGGGAACCAAACTGAGATCGAGGATGTTTTTGAGCTTGTGGAGGGATCAAAGTTAGACGGCGAGGAGAGTGCTGAGGTTAGCAACCTCGCCGTTGTAGCTAAGACTAAGGCAGGTGGCTGCGGCAAGGGCGGTCAACAGAGGAGTCAGGGGCAATTCACCGACCCAAACAAAATAGCTGCTTGGGTGAGGGCCGGTTTGGATCAGGAAGTGTGGTGGGACCGTTGGTCGCGTGGTGCTTGCATAAACTGCGGCGAGTATGGCCATCAACAATTTAAGTGCAAGAACCCGAAGGTCTCGTAGAAGATCCCTCCAAAGTGTGGGGCCAGTAGAAGTTGTAGCTGCTTCTACTCCCGTTGAAGCGGGAGATGTACCCTCCTCGTTTCAAGAGTTGGCCGAAGCTATTGACTCCTTAGTCACCCCCCAGATGCATCCGGACCCAACTATACACTGTATGTTGGATGTGTCTGAAGCCTTAGAGGACCTTCAAGGTGAGTAGTCGGCAAAAGACCCTCGTGAGTCCTGGGTGGCACTAAGTAGAGGTCCTAGAGGGGAGCACTTCGTTGTGGAAATTGGTGTGGGTGACCGTAAGAGCGGTGCCTTCGTAGACATTGGCTCCACACGAAACCTCGTAAGTCGCGACTGCGTTGAGAGATTGCGCCTAAAGGACTGGGTGCAACGCCTGAGTAGACCGGTGGCATCTACTCTGGCCAACAAAGAGCGCATGTTGGTGGAGGACTATGTGAAGGACGTAGTTTGCACTTTCTCCTACCCAGGAGGATAGGTAAGTCATAAGATATCATTCCTGGTGAGCGACGATTTGCCTTTGGACATGTTGTTAGGCATGTACTACCTCGAGGTTACCAAGCCCCAGTTTGATTGGGACAAGAAGGTGCTAAAGAAGGAGTTGCCTAATGGGAGGATCGTTAGGCTGGCCAAGTATAAAGCCGGTAGGTTAATAGACTCCTATGGGTGCTTATGTGCACCAACGTTCTACAACTATTATAAACAGAACCAAGAGGAAGGTATGTACTTAGTCTATGTCTCTGCAAAAGGGGAGGTCGTTAAAACACTCCCAGAGATAGAAACCATCGTCGCTAAGTGCCCTGATCTGTTTGAGGAGCCTACTGGGGTCGTAGACAGGGACGTTGTCCATGCCATAAAGATCATCCCAGTTAGCAAGACACCTAAAGAGAGAATCTATAGGATGGCTCAGACTGAGTTGGACGAGCTTCGGTGACAACTGAAAGAGCTCACAGAGAAGGGGTGGATTCGGCCTAGCACCTCCCCCTTTGGCTCACCAGTCTTATTTGTTCCAAAGGATGTGCATTGATTATAGAGGCCTCAATGCCATCATCGTTATGAACGCAGAGCCTCTACCACGCATCGACGACCTATTGGATAGGGTGCAGGGGTGTAAGTACTATACGAAGATAAACTTAGAATGTGACTACCATCAGATTGCCATAAGACCAGACGACCAGCACAAAACCACATTCCAGACCAGGTACGATCTATATGAGTTTGTGGTGATGCCCTTTGGCCTTTGCAATGTGTTGGCTACGTTCCAGCATGCCATGAATAGGATCTTCCATGACTACTTACCTCGACGACATACTTATCTTTAGTAAGACTGTTGAGGAGCATGCTCACCATGTAGACAAAGTACTTTCACTCCTTCGGCAGCACAAGTATAAGATAAATGCAGAAAAATGCGAGTTCAGACACACTCGAATCTTGTACTTGGGTCATGAAGTATCCGTGGATGGGATTAGGCCCGAAGATGCGAATGTGGCTAGCATTAGGGACTGGCCACAACCCCAGTTTGTGACTGAGGTCATATCATTCTTGGGAATGTGTGGATATTATCGCAATTTCGTAAAGAATTATAGTACGATCGCATCTCCCTTGACTGATCGAACTCGACTTGACACACCATGGGACTGGACCGACGAGTGCGAGGCAACTTTCAAGCGTTTGAAGCATGCTCTCACACACCATGAAGTTCTCATGGTGCCGGACCCGCAAAGGCCATTCGTTGTGACCATTGACGCAAGCCAATATGGCATCGGCGCATTGCTGGCTCAGCAGGAAGGGAAACAATTGAGACCGGTCGAGTATATGAGCAAAAAGATGTCATCAAAGAAGTTGGCAAAGTCCACCTACGAGAGGGAACTCTATGCTCTCTACAAGGCACTTGTCCACTGGAGGCCTTATCTGTTAAGAAGGTTCTTTTACTTGGGAACGGACCATCAAACCCTCAAGTGGATTAAGACCCAACCAGTGCTCTCCGATGCACTCAAACGCTGGATTGAAGTTATAGATCAGTATGACTTCAAACTAGACTATGTGAAGGGAGAGTACAACAAGGTTGCAGATGCGTTGTCTAGAAGGGCAGATTACCTAGGTGCGCTGATTTATGAGTTTGGCTTATCTGAGGACGTTACTAGATCTTTGGGGGAAGCCTACAAGCAAGATCCCATCGCGATGGACATCATCAACAAACTGCAGGCCAAAGACAAGGCCACCTCTGACGAGTTTGTGATGTTGGATGGGTTACTCTTTCTTGAAAAGGCTGGATTTAAGAGGTTAGTTGTTCCATCTAGGGAGATTTTGCGTAGTTTATTTCTAGGTGAGTGCCACGACGCAACGGGACATTTCGGCTACAAGAAGACTAGTGCTAACTTAGTACAACGATTTTGGTGGCCTAACACGCTGGACGATGCAAAGAAGTATGTACAGACCTGTCAGGTCTGTCTGCGGGACAAGCCGCGGACTCAAGCTCCGCTGGGGTTACTCAAGCCTCTACCCATTCCTGCTGGCCTAGGGCAGAGTATCTCCATGGACTTCATGGATACTCTCGTGACCAGCAAGAATGGCAAGAGGCACATCTTCGTCATGGTTGATAGGTTTACTAAGTTCGCTAGACTAATTGTCATGCCAGAGACCACCAGGATTGAACACGTCATCAAGTTATTCATGGATAACTGGGTGCGTGATCTTGGGTTTCCAAAGACAATTGTTAGTGATAGAGATGTGCATTTCACCAGCGAGATGTGGAAAAAGACCGCTGAGCAGATGGGAAGACAGCTTAGGATGACTTATGGGAATCATCCCGAAGCAAATGGGCAGGCTGAACAGATGAACTGCGTGGTGCAACATCTGCTGAGGCATTACATTAAGCCCAGCCAGGATGATGGGGATGAGAAGTTACCTCTCATCGCCAGTCTGTACAATAACGTTGTACACAACACCACCGGGGTCACCCCGAATCAGCTGCATCTGGGATGGAAGCCTAGATCTGCTCTAGACTTCCTCTTGCCTGAAAACCGAACTGCTGCAACTCCTGGAACCATTGAATTTGGTGTCCAGTACGAGAAATTGTTGCAGCAGACTGTCGAACACATCAGGAAATCTCAGGAAGCCATGTTTGCTTCTGAGAACAAGCATCGCTGACAGTCCACATTTCAGGTAGGGGAACATGTCTAGGTCAAGGCTAGTGATTTGGGACAGGAGTTTGGCATCTCTAGAAAACTAATGCCTCAATATTTCGGTCCCTGGGAAGTCTTAGACATTTTGGGTAATGATTTGGATGGTCCCTCGTACGTCATTCGTATCCCTAATCACCTACGCACTGACCCTGTTTTTCACGCTTCCAAGCTTGCACCTTTCGCTGAGACAGAACAGTTCCCATCACGGGGATCTATGCTGCCCCCAACCATGGATGGCCACGTGGACGTTCACGATATCCTGGACCACAGAGACATGCCTGTTCCCAAGCCACCCAGCAGGGGTAGACCTCCTAAACCTGCACGGGAGTACAAAGAGCATCTCAGGCATCATACGGATCCTAAGGAAGATCAATGGATTTCAAGGGAGGAACTTGTCAAGACAGCTCCTCAGATCGTGGCAGAATATGAGGAGAAACGGAAAGGGAAGGCACCAGCATGAAGCATCTCAGCGGACCTTCGAAGCTAAAGGGGATGGAATGCAAGGAACAAGCCCTCCTGGGGCCCTATCAGACATCACATGTTCTGGGCAAAGGCCCTCAGCAAGGCAAGTGCCCACCCTAAGTGAAGGCAGGCCTGAATGTTCGTCAAAGGCCAAAATTCGACACTTTCATATGTGGGTATTCAGGCTCTTGCAGCACGCCAGTTGGTTGAATGGACACGCGAGCCTCACTAAGCNCGTCAAAGGCCAAAATTCGACACTTTCATATGTGGGTATTCAGGCTCTTGCAGCACGCCAGTTGGTTGAATGGACACGCGAGCCTCACTAAGCTGTGTCGTACAGTTGGCCCAGGCCTTGACAGTTGCGCCTGGGCACATACACACAAAGCAGGGCCGAGACATTGAGAAGCAGGCCATCGGCCTACGCAAAGGCAGTACTGCCGATGCACCTACCTGGGAACCCTGCACAAATGCAGCAAACAGCCCAAGTCCGGAGACTCAGGCCGTGCCCAACTGTAAAAGGGGCCCAGGACTTGGACATCTGTGTGATTCCGCAACTTGGTTTTCCGTATATCATTCACTCGTATTCATTGCATTATTATTATTGTTGTTGTTATTAGTTTATTATTATTATTATTTCATTATTATATTATTATTATTATTATTATTATATTATTATTATTATTATTATTATTATTGTAATGACCTGCCATAACACAGACTGAGAACACTGCTGATTTCTGAAATTGTGACTTCTGCCGATGGAATGGATGCCTTGCTGAGATTCCCGCATTCTGCTGAGTTTCCTAAGTCTGTGTGTGTGTGAGGAAGTGCTGCTGGAACTTGTGCGAACTAGCAAACTGGGCCAAGAAGAGCGCTGGAGAAGAATAGTGCTGGAGGAGGAAGGTGACCATAGGCCGGCGAGACGAAGGAAGACAACCGGCGGCCATAGCTGCCCACGCTTGACAAGGCACACCGCAGAGGCATTCAGGGTAGATCTAGGACATCAAAGGGAGGAGGAAGAGTGCCGAGGAGCATTGAGGGATGAACAGTGCAGGGGAGAGAGAGAGAGAGAGAGAGAGAGAGAGAGAGAGAGAGAGAGAGAGAGAGAGAGAGAGAGAGAGAGAGAGAGGG